AACACAATTGTTGGTTCTTAAAAAAAATTCCTAAAAAAATTCGGGATTATCCTCCTTAGAGAAATAACCTTTAAAAATCCAGGATTTTTGGTTTTTGGATTTTTGTTGATCGTTGAAAAAAAAAATAAATCCACACTTGCTGGTCCTTAAAAAAAATTCTTAAAAAATCTTCTACTACAGGTCTCTTGGTCCTTGATTTTTTTAAATCCACAGTAAATGGTTTGTCGGCCAATCAATCAATTTTTGCCATAAATATTAGATGCGTCTTAGGGTTCAAACCAGTCGCCTCCAACTGCTGTTAGCCCTTTTCCCTTTACATATTTAGGTATGTATATATGTATGTGTTGAGTTTTTTTGTTTCAAAATTTCTTTCCGTTACAAGTCCATGATGCCAACAACGGCGACTACGATGATGATGTTGATTGTGGGAGGTAGGACGCAAAAAAAAGTTGAAATACAACAAAAACCCCAGCATCAAACTGCCTCCGAACCAATGAAAAAAAACATATATTTTTGAAAGTGTGTCGAAATTATTTGCTTAGTGCTTGAGTTGATTGATTTTGGTTTATTTCCCTGCAGTTTACAACACCATATTTTTTCTGAGTGAGTGTTGAGTTGGTCCTTGGGTGTTTGAATGTTGGTCGGTAGGTTGGTTGGTTCGTTGGCAGGGTTTATTCAATTTGATAGCCGTCATTGTATGGCAAATTGCTAGGAGTGTTTTCTCGTTTGCTTTTTTCAACACTTGTATTTGGGTACTTGGGTTTCATTTTTTTTTGGTAACAAAAAATAATGCCTGAATATTTGAATGAAATACTTGAATTTCAAATTTATTTTCAAATGTTTTGCGTAGTTTTTTTGTTCGCCTTTCTTTCTTCTGTTCGTTCATTCGTTTGTTTGTCGGAGAAATTACATTTGAATATGTTTGTTTATGAGTGTGTGTGTGTATGTGCTCGATGACAAAACGTGTGTGTATTTGTTATTGAATTAGCGAATAATAACAAACCAACAGACAGACAGACAGACATTTTAATAATATTTGGTTTTGCCTCTGAAGAGGTACTTGAAATTTGTAATAACTTCGAGGATGATGATAAGTAGATGATGAACGCTATTGAGCACTCGCCAGAAGTGGCAGAATTTTCAAGGGGACTTTATTTGTCATAAATTTTGTAAATATATATGACAATATTGGGAGTTAGAAAAAGAGTGAGTGAGAGAGAGAGAGAGAGTAAGGCATGCAAAAGGGGCGTTATCGCGGGTTTTTGGTTTCCTCTGAAATAGCAAGCTAGATTTTTTCTATCTTCGGAAAAGGTGTATTCATATCAACACCATTCTGATTGAATATTCCCAACCAGCAAAAAATATATTTATACCCTCCACCATTCTATGGAGGATATATTAACTTTAGCATTCCGTTTGTAACTCCCCGATATACGGCTGTCTGTCTGTTGTAATCACGATATCTTTCGAACGAATTTAAATAGAAGGCTAAAATTTTGCACACATGCGTATTTTGTCAGTAAGCAGGTTAAGTTTGTTAATAGGCTTTATCGGTAAGGCCCCCACATAACGATACCTCCCAACATTCGGTATTTTAATGATTTTAGAGACATTATAGACCAGAATTGTTTCAAATTTCGTATTTGAAGTTTGTAATGGGTACGATATCCTACGACAAAAAATTTAGTATGCTGGTCCACGTTTTCGTGTAGCCCCCATATAACGGTACCTCTCGATATTCGGTATTTTGGTGATTTTAGCGACATTACTTACCGGAATTGTTTAAAATTTCGTATTTGAAGACCTGAATGGGTGCTACAATTTATGACAAAAAATTACATACACAGGTCCACGTCTTAGCATACGCAGGTCCGGATCTTACTATATAACGGTACTTCCTCTTATTCGCCATTTTTATGATTTTAGGACATTATAGACCGGAATTGTTTCAAATTTCGTATTTGAAGATCTGAATGGGTGCTACAAAAATGACATATGCAGGCACAAGTCTTCGTATAGATCCCATATAACGGAACTTCTCTTTATTCGGTATTTTACTGAATCTAGAGACATTATAGACCGAAAATGTTTCAAATTACGTATTTGAAGCTCGTAATGGGTACTATATCATATGACAAAAAAATTGAGTATGCTGGTCCACGTTTTTTTGTAGCCGCCATATGACGATACCTCTCGATATTCAGTATTTCTTGATTTTAGAGACATAATAGACCGGAATTGTTCCAAATTTCGTATTTGAAGATCTGAATGGCTGCTACTAGCTATGACAAAAATGACATATGCAGGCCCACCTCTTCATATGGCCCACATATAACGTATTTTCATGATTTTAGGGACATTATAGACCGGAATTGTTTCAAATTTCGTATTTGAAGATCTGAAGCTTGACAAAAATGACATATGCAGGCCTACGTCTTCTTATAGCCCCCATATAACGGTACCTCTCTTTATTCGATATTTTAATAATATTAGCGACATTATGAGCCGGAATTGTTTAAAGTTTCGTATTTGAAGTTCGGAATCGGCACTACAGAATATGACAAAAAATTTCTAATGCAGGACCCACGTGGTTCGTAAAGTCCCTATATAACTGTTTTTATTTAAGTGGTATTTTTTGACGGAATGTTATTTGAAATTGTTAAAGTCCCTTCCATATGGTGGAGGTTGTTAAAAGTTCGGCCTGGTCGAACTTAGCTGCTTTTTTACTTGTTATACCCTCAGCCAAATGGCTATCATTTGATAAGGCCAAAACGTGCCTCATCGAAATAACAGTGTTAAAACCTTGGACTCTTGGGACGAAATCCGTTTCGGGACACTTCGAATCGATTTAGAGGTCTCTGTCCGTTTGTCTGTCTGGCTGGATGGTGCACACGATAACTTTCGAGGGAAGTATCCGATTTGATCCAAACTTGGTACATGATAATATTATTGTCAAACTTAGATCGAGATCGGAGATGGGCAATATCGGTCCACTCCTTCTGGTACCATCCTCACGAAAGGTCGACATTTCAAAAAAAAAATATTTTACTGCACAGGAAGAGAAAGGATAATACAATTTTTCTCCAACAGGGCGAATCCTAATATTTACATCAATGCTAGGTCAGGTGTGAAATTTGACAATATCGGTTCACTCCATCCAGTACCTGCCCCACAAAGGGTCAACATTTTGAATAATTATAGCTTTAATCAAATGTGATGTAACGGCCCGATTATCTTCAAATTAGACGACCCACAATATTTTTATCATCGATATATCAGTCCACTTCTTCTGGTACCTTCCCCACAAAGGGTCAAAATTTTTAAAATTCATGAAGCTTCTAAAACGCTGGATTGACATCCAATTCCATTCAAACTTGGCACATCTCAATATTTCTATCAACACAAGATCTGCTATAAAGATGGTAGAGATCGGACCTTTACTTCTGGTACCTCCCCCACAAAGGGTCAACGTTTTGAATAACCAAAAGTTCTCTTGATATTTCACACATCACAATATTTTTATTAACCCAAGGTCTGGCATGAAGATGGAATATATCGGCCCACTCCTTTTGGTACCACCCCCACAAAGGGCCACAATTTTTTGTATTTTTGAAACTCATAGAATGCGAAATTAACATCCGATTCCCATTCAGACTTAGCAAATCTCAATATTTCTATAAACACATATAAAGATGGAAGAGATCGAACCATTCCTACTGGTACCTCCCCCACAAAGGGTCAAAGTTTTGAGTATCCAAAACGATCATAAAATCCGAAATAAGCTTCCGATTCTCTTTATATTTTACACATCACAATATTTTTATTAAACCAAAGTCTGGACTAAAGATGGAATAAATGGGTCCACTCCTTCTGGTACCTCCACCACAAAGGATCAAAATTTTGAAAAACCATAACGCTTATAAAACACTTCCTATTCCATTCAGGCTTGGTACATCGTAATATTTCCATCAGCACAAGACCTGTTATAAAAATGGTAGAGATCGGACCATTTCTTCTGGTACGTCCCTCAAAGGTGTGTCACCATTTTCAATACAATTATCTGTCATAACTTGCGAAACAATTAAGCGATTTTTCTAAAAATGATCACATATAAAGTGAAGGAACTAGTCGATATAGTCCAAACCTGGCACGGCACAATATTTATATTATGTTTATTTAGGACCGATACGAAAAGGACAATATTGGCCCACTCCTTCGGGACCTATTCCATAGAGGGTCATTAATTTAACTATTCATAACAGAAGTCAAAATATATTTAAATATTGGCCCATTCTTTCGGAACCTATTCCATAGAGGGTCATTAATTTGAATAATCATAACAGAAGTCAAAATATATTTAAATAATCGAACTTTGGCTGAGGGTATACATCTGTCTGCAAAACCTACTGATACTTTTTAACTTCTTCAACGGAATTTTATTTTAATTTTTTAAAGTTCCTTCCAAGTGGTGGAGAGTTATAAAAGTTGGTTATAAAAGTTGGTTCTGACCGAACTTAGCCGCTTTTTTCCTTGTTTTTCATGTAAAATATATAATTTCAGAAAAATAGCCATTTCAGAGGGGGCTCTGTCCCCCAACCTACTTACGTTCCTGGAATATCATATAGTCGGTGCTATTCGACTCTCGTCCTTTCCTTATGGGTTACAGCATAAGAAAATAATTCAAAAAATAATTTTATTATCTACCCAAAAACATAGAGAATTAACTATTTCAATGCCAACATCATCATCATTCCGACTTGACTATTAACGGCTTTTGTTACCCTTGTCATGCCACTCAACGAAATAAAAAAATCCAAAGTTTATATAAATTGTTATTGTTTCACTTCATTTATCCATCATCCGCCAAAAGAACGCACATCTATTATTTATTTCGTTATGCAATTGAACGGTTGGATCATTTATCAATATGGAGAATCACAATTGCCTTAACTCGACTATCCAAGCATATCTATCATCTGCCGATATGCATACATACGTACCGTATTTACAGCTCCCATTTCCTCCTTGAGAGCGGCCTTTTCGAAACGATGCTCCTTACATTCATCACGCAGACACGCCAATTCATTGTTTGCCAGTTCAATTTCTCGCACCATGTCCTTGTTGCGTTCTTCAAGGGCTTTAGTTCTGAAAAAAAATAAACAAACAACGAGAACAATGGTTGAAATTAATGCACTTTAATAAAATGAGATAAAAAGGTTTATTTTTAAGATGAAAGGCTAAAAAGTTACAGTCCAATTTCGCGTTTTGAAAATTCACAGCAATGATTTTTTTTTTAGAATTTTCGGATTTTAGTCAATTGGAATTTTTGCACTTAGGTGTCTCCGCTAGCATTGCTGATTACATTACGAGGATTATTTTAGTAGAAAATTCTTAAGTGAGTCACAAAAGGTGTCTTTTTGATCCTTCTTTTCAAAATATGGTAAAAAAAACTCTCTTTTAATGGAATTATTTGTCATAAAATTCTACTATAGGTCTCGGAATATTTCAAAAGCCTAAATTTTACCTAAACGCCAGAAATTCATAAATTTTAAAAGTGTTACTTTATGCAAAAGTCATAATTATAGAAGGATGACGTCTGAGACAAAATTATTCTCTTCAAATTTCACTATAAATCAATTATACAAAAAAAAAACAAGTAATCAAAGGCTACAGTCGAGCGGGGCCGACCGTTTAATACCCTACAACACTATAATAAACGATACAGTTTATATAGGCGAGATACTCGAAAGAATTCCACAAGGTTCCGTTCTCCAATTTTCGAATAATAGCAACTTAAATTAATTTGCTCATTTCCAATTTATTGGTAGATGTTGCACGTAAATGGTCTTCCTAGATCTGGAACCAATATTTCTCAAAGACCTATAATCTCTCAGAAGTGGCAAAAGATTAACATTTATTATTGGTTTTTGACTGAAACGCATCTATATGAGATACAGACATTTGACTATATTCTTCCACGAAATCAGCGTTAACGAAATAGTCAGAAGTGCGTCTTTCCTGTATTTGTGAATTCTCCAAAAAGTCACTGGAATGAACATTTTCGTATTTTGTCTACAAAAGTTGGCAAACTCCTTCACACATTGAATATTTTTGGATGGCCATCCGAAACTGCTTGGCTTTTGCAATGTGAGGTAACCCCCATTCAAATGTGCGTGAGGATCGGGCGATAATTACGACCTGCTGACAATTTTGCAGTTTTTTGGTCCATTTCAACCCCTAAATATATGGCGATCATCTCCAAAAAGAGTAGGCTTCTCTTCTGACCCTCATCTTATCCCCATGCAAAATTTCGTAAGGATCGGGTCATAAATGCGATCAGTATATGATATCCTGATATCCTAACTACTTAGTTTTGTTAGCTGTAGAAATATTACCAAATGTTTAATTCAAAATGAAAATATGCCAAAAATATGACAAAATTGAAAAAATATGAGAAAATGTTACAAAATCAATACTTTCATCTTTAGAGAAATATTTTTATGCGTTTTTTTAGACGTTTTATGTTTCCTGCCAAGAGGCCATTCTGAATTAATGAGAACTGTCGAAATCAGTTCAGCCGTTCTCGACATATAAGAGATTTTTCAAGCATATCTTCTTTGATAAACATATATATCGCACATATTTTGCTATATATCCGTTTTGTTGGATGTTAACATCAATGTAAAGATCAGAAGTAACCTTGTCATGGCTTTGTGATTTCGCAGGGATTAAAAATATTCGCGGTTTAATGAAAATTTTTGAATTTTTTCAACACAAAAGATATTTTACCCGCTAAATATTATCCGATGACCACCCAAATTGGTAGGCTTCTTCCCCGCCCTAAACTTTAGCTACATGCGAAATTCCGCGTCGATTGGTCCATAATTGCGACCTGTATAGCTACTGCAAAATCCGACATTTTTTCAGTATTTGGTCCATTTCAACCCCTAAACATTTGGCGATCTTCTAATTGCGACCTGTAGCGTGATTACAAATTAACATGGACAGGCGGACAGGCGGACAGACGGACAGACGGACAGACGGACGGACATACATAACTAGATCGACTCAGCTCGGCGAGCTAGGAAGATCCATATATACTTTCCTATATGGGAAACCAATATTTCGAGGTGTTACATAAATTCTGACCCAATCAAACTTATAATACCCCCAACACATAGTGTTGTAGGGTATAATTAAACAAATGTGGTCAAAAACATGTGAAAATATTATTTTGAATAAATTTTAATTAAATTAAATTCTCTTGACTCTTTTTCGAGTTGATGCATGGAAATAACATAAACTTCATAAAACTTTATTGTAGACAAAAAGATACAAAAGAAGAAGTCTCTTTAGTACTCAAAATGCACAGTTCATATTGTTAAAACAAAATTTTCTTATTAAAACTTCATACAACATACTAAATTTTCAGACTTTCAAGGTTTTATATTTATTCAATTTTCGTCCATTTTCGGAAAGAAAAATAGGAAAATATTTACCTTACCTTGTTTACCCTAAAATCGATTATTTTTAAATTTATTACGCATATCCAAGACAATTTACATCTCTCCATCTTAGACATCAACAGTGATTCAAAATAAGTAAAATTTAGTACTTTTGGAACATAATATATAATACGAAATTGCAAAGTCTTAACACCAAATAGCAACAGAGACCTCTATATCAAGTTTCGTGATTCTAGCTCTATGCATTCACTCAATAACTAATTCAGTAACATTTGGCACTTTTCGTATAATTTTAGTACTCATTTGCAAGCTCGTTCCAAATCTCAATCTTGGACACCAATAGTAATCACAATATAAAAGATCACGGTTTCATCCCTTCACAAATACCAAAATTTACCCAATTTAGTACCATTTAGTACAATTAAATACACATATCCAAACCCAATTTCTTCTTTCGACCTCAGACACCAACTGTGGCATCAATATCAAATTTCAGGATTCCAGCTCAATCCGTAAAACCAATATCAAATTTAGTACTTTTCGTGCAATTATCAAATTTCGGAAATTCAGCTCTATCCCTTTTAGTTACAAACTTAGTACCACTTAGTACTTTTCAAACAATTATTATGCACATTTCGAAAAATAATTATTTTAGCTCTGCTTCTTCTCTCAGGGTGATATAAAAAAACTGCAACAAAGACAAACGCCATAATTTTTTCATTTTTTTTTTTTTTTTAATTTTATTGGATGAAAGCAAAAAATGTCGAGAATAGCATCAAGTTTTAGAATAAGTTTAGATTTCTTCGAATTGGGCACGTCTGGCACGAATTATGGCCTTCAAACGGCCAATGAAACCGTTACACGCTGCCCGAATTTCGGCCCATTCCCGGCAAATCCCTTGCTTGAGGTGATCGACACTTTGGTATTTTTTGCTTTCCAAAACACTCCAGACATAATAGTGGAAATGATGAACCTCATTTTGTAACCATTCTTGGCGCATGCTGAGTACGATGGTGCTGAGTCCTGTGGGAATGTCCACGGTCTGCGGCCAAAATATTTGCGTGCCCAAGGAATTTTCGCGATAATATTGGGCATTTATTCTGATGCCACGGTCGATTAATGCGAGCGGAGAGCTACTATCGGCTGTCATGGCGGCCCACACCATCACCATGGCCGGTCAGCTGACCTCTTTAGCAAGTAAACACGATCATTTTGTTTGTTTACAAACTGCTGGACAACGAATTTTTTCTTTTCTTATCGGAGAAAACCAAGTTCTGCAGTTCACCATTTTCAGCCAAGCGACTCAATTCTTTAGCTCTTTTGAGTCTATTTTCATTCTGTAGCAATGTAAGTTCTTGCAATTTTTGGAATTTCAATGACTTTACCCCGAGCTCATTTTTCAATATTTGCCGAATGGAATATTGCTTCTATCGCTTCTTTACTTTTCGAACCATTTCTCTTGATGTTGCTGTTTTCTTCCGCCCACTTCCTTGATGACGATGGTACGAGACACAAAAGATTTATTCACATTTAAATGCTGGAGTGCTCTAACGATAGCCTCTTGTGGTTTTTCAGTCAAATATAAATAAATCTCACTATCACGCTTGAATTCCATCACGAATATCCTTTTTTCTTGAAAACTCTCACCAAAATGCTTTTGTACGCTTGTAAACGATATAATGAGCTGTCACTGGAATAACTTAACAGCTGTCGGACGAGTGGTTTAGAAATGACAGCAGTCTGAAATTGGTTGCAGTTTTTTCATCTCACCCTGTATAGAACAGCTTTTATAGGTCTATAGAAAGGCTTTTATAGATCTATACACATAAGAGCATTTGTAGGTCTTCTATGAATAGAAGAGCCTTTATAGGTCATCTGTGAATAGAAAAGCTTTTTAGGTCATTCATGCTTAGAAGCCCTTCTGCAGTTCGTATTTTTATAGAAGACCCTTTACTGGTCTTCTATGGATACAAGTCTTCCATTGATAGACGATCCTTAACAGACATTCTATGGATGAAGACCTTTTAGAGAACTTCCATGAATAGAAACATTTTTTAGAGATTTTCTATAAGTAGACGACCTTTTGCAGGTCTCCTGTGGATGGAAGACCTACTATAAATCTTCTCTGGATAGAAACCCTTCTGAAAGCCATCTGGATGACCTTTTAAAGGACGTTAGAGATTCTCTATAAGTAGACGACCTTTTGCAGGTCTCCTGTGGATGGAAGACCTACTTTAAATCTTCTCTGGATAGAAACCCATCTGGAAGCCATCTGGATGACCTTTTAAAGGAAGTTTTCTCAAGTCTTCTGGATATAATGATGGAGACCCGCAGCCAATATATATAAGACCTTCCGCAGATCTTTAAGGCGTCTTCTATTGATTGTAGAACTTCATTATGGGTTGATGGCCTTTAAGATGTCTTCTGTGGGTAGAAGACCTTTAGTCTTCTATTGATTGTACAGCTTCATCTAAGGGTTGATGGCCTTTAAGATGTCTTCTGTGGGTAGAAGACCTTTAGCTGTCTTCCATGATTTTTAATAACTTGAATAACTTTAACATGACTTCTATGGTTTTATTAACACCAACAAAAATATCTCCCCTCTTGTGCCTCACCTGCCCTGGTGTCTGCAATCAATTTCTAACACTTTAGTGATTTAATTTAATTAAAAACTACTCG